AAGAGTGGCCCAGCTCTGGGGAATAGTACTCAAGGCTACATTTTAACATAGAAAGTGTTAGAAGAGAGGGGAGAAAATCAAGAGAGCTCCTCCTTACAATACCTTTCCTGGTCTTTCCTCTCGGATTTCCATCCTCTGGGCTGAGCAGAGATCACTTCCTCCAAGGGCACAAGAGCAGTGCGCTGGGAGCAGTATCACTGTACCCAAGTGTAGCATGAACTGAACTAATGTAGCTGATGTTAACATAGAGGGTAATAGTAGTGAAATGTAACCATGTTAGTCTTGTCCTGCAGGCAACTTGAAAGCTTTATTTTGTATTTTTCTGCTTGATGTAGGTGAATGAACTCTGCATAGCCTTTATGAACGAGTGTGTGTAAAAGGGTGAATGGTGAGAGAATGGCATAGAGACAAGAGAAGAAGATTTAACTGTTTATGTAAGCAACAAGACGCCAAATGTAAGTTACCAGTCAGTAAACTAATTAATAAATGGCTGAAGAATCCCTTTAGGCCTAGGGCACAAAGAAAATAATGAGGAGAAGGAATGCAACCATCCTGCCAGATGGGCAGCAAGAACACTCCAAGGCTGAGATAAGCTGAAGACAAAAAAAAAAACAACCGCAAAAACAGAAGCTGAGTATGGAAAACCCCCCAAGCACTGAAACAAAGGATGCCAATCCCTATAAAAGAACACTTTCATAGATTCATAGATGTTAGGGTCGGAAGGGACCTCAATATATCATCGAGTCCGACCCCCTGCATAGGCAGGAAAGAGTTCTGGGTCTAGATGACCCCAGCTAGATGCCTATCTAACCTCCTCTTGAGGACCAGCTCCCTTCTGGCCCCCCGTGATGACCTTATAGGCAGCCACAAAGTCGCCTCTCGACCTTCTCTTGTGGAGGCTGAAAAGGTCCAGGTTCTCCAGTCTCTCCTCGTAGGGCTTGGTCTGCAGGCCCTTAACCATACGAGCGGCCCTTCTCTGGACCTTCTCTAGGTTATCCACATCCCTCTTGAAGTGTGGCGCCCAGAATTGCACGCAGTACTCCAACTGCGGTCTGACCAGCGCCCGATAGAGGGGAAGTATCACCTCCTTGGACCTATTCGTCATGCATCTCTTGATGCACGATAAAGTGCCATTAGCTTTTCTGATGGCTTCGTCACACTGCCAACTCATGTTCATCTTGGAGTCCACTTTGAAAATGCCAAGTTGGGTGAGTATCTTTCTCTACTGCTGTTTCATCGGAGCACAGATGCATCTGTTCACCCTGCTCCAGCTGTTATCTTCAAATCTGCTATCTTCAAATCATCAGCATCTACTCAATAAGCCTGGGTTGGCCACCCTAGGCTGATATTGAGCTACTATTGTGGGTAACTATGTCTGGTGTATGTGTGGATGGAATGGTTGTTCTGTGTATATGTATGCCTGTGTAAAATAATGTGTATTATAATTTCTGTGTGTTTGTATGAATAGTGTGTCCGAACCTCTGTCTAATTCATGTAATCAATAAACGTGGCATCTTGCCTTATCCTCCTTTATAAAGTCTTGATTGTAATTTAAGCAATTAGCAATTTAAGTAACACGAGGTGCGCTGCAGTTATATTATGTGTGTTTCCACTGAGCATCAGCAGGATGTCATACATGTCCTTTCGAGAGGAATGGCCCTCCATTGAGCCTCACGTGACACCGTGCCACAGAAGATTAAGCCATAATCAGGATTAAGACTAAACATAATGATTCACAATAGCTCCTAGAAGCCACCACCAAAGATCAGAGCCCACATGTGCTGCTCAGATACTAACATGATGGTGTCATGTTTGGGAGACACGAACAGGTCTTTTAAGTTGAGCTGTAAATACAATAGGGGACTGAAGGCACTAAAATAATGCCATTCCTTAATCACTTTCAGATTTCTATTCAAGGCCCTACAAGACTCTTTTGTCTTTGGATTGCCTGGGTTAGATATTTAGTTAACTATGGACTGGGCCTTGGAGTCTTTTTAAGATGTACAAGAGTATTTATGTCAGTCAGGGGTCTGATATTTTCATTGTCACATCTATCTATCTATCTATCTATCTATCTATCTATCTATCTATCTATCTATCTATCATGGCAAAAGCCTTAGCTGGGTATATTCAGTGATAGTTATAGAACCACAGACAGTGAGGGATGGAAGGGACCTCAGGAGGTCGCATCTAGTCCAACCCCCTGCTCAAAGCAGGACCAGCTCCAACTACATCATCCCAGCCAAGGATTTGTCTACCTGGGTCTTAAATACCTCCAAGGATGGAGACATTACCACCTCTCTGGGTAGCCTATTCCAGTGCTTCACTACCCTCTTGGTAAGAAAGTTCTTCCTAATATCTAACCTCAACCTCCCTTTGCTTCAACTTTGCTCCTTGTCCTGCCACCTGCCCTCCCTCCCTCCCTTTGCTGTCCATTGCTTCTTGTTCTGTCATCTGCCCCCACTGAGAACAGCCCAGCTCCATCCTCTTTGCAGCCCCCCTGCAGGGAGGTGAAGGCTGCTATTCAGTCCCCCTCGGTCTTCTCTTCTCCAGACTAAATCAGCCCAGTTCTCTTGGCCTTTCCTCACAAGTCATGTCCCCCAGCCCCCAAACTATTTTCATTGCCCTCCACTGGACTTTTTGTAATGTGTCCACATCCTTTCTGTAGTGAGGGGCCCAAAACTGGACACAGGACTCCAGACGTGGCCTCACCAGTGCCGAATAGAGGGGAAGAATCATTTTCCTCAATCTGCTGGCAACGCTCCTACCAATGCAGCCCATAATGCCATTAGTCTTCTTGGCAGCAAGGGCACACTGCTGGCTCCTGTCCAGCTTATTGTCTCCTGTCACCCCCAGGTCCTTTTCTGCAGCCTGCACCGGTGCATGGGATTGCTCCTTCCGAAGTGCAGAACTTTACATCAGTATCAATAAGGTTCAATAAGGGCAAATGCAATGGGGAATTATGTTCTCCTTTGCATACAGAAACAGCTATTCCAGTAGCATCAGCAACAGCAAGTCAACATGGCTATATGTAGTAAGATGATTGGACTTCCCTATCAAATGATATTCTACAGCCCTTCCTTTGTGAAAAGGCAGCAGATAAGCAGTTAAGCCTATCACATCTCTTAGGATCACATATCTCAATGTCATTCATGGCCAAACTCATGTCTGCTTCCATCAGGGTCATTCCTGTAGACCTTCTGTGCAAGGTGAGCTTTCTTCACCTTGCATAGGACCCCAGCACTACTGTCATCTTGCTCTCATCTGGGAGCTGCTGGGATCCTTCTGCCCACCCCCTTTATCGGCCCATGCTGGGAGAATCCCTTCATCCCAGATGAGGCAGACAAGCTCAGCCATAGGACCAGTCTCTGCCTCACAACCACTCTCTGTCCATTGTCATGTCTGACAACCTCCATAACCAGGTAGTCATTCCACACAGGCCAGAAAGGGGACCTAATGATCCATGTAGACTTCAGGACATGCTGACTGTTCATTGTCTGCAGCCTGACTCCTAGGACTAGGCTCTGGAGATATCCAGTGGTTTGGCCACATGATAAATCTTTTACCTTTCATGAAGAGTTGATTTTATAAGCTGATTTCATCCTCTTGAAACTGCCTCACTCCTCCCCTGGCCCTAAAAACCTTAATGAACCCCTCTGTACTTGTGAAAACCTCTGTTTTGCCCCACCATGAAAGCATCTGACGGGAATTCACCGTTGCATCCCGAAACCGGTGGCTCTCTGAAAACCAGAGGCTGAAGAAAGAGCACAATAAAACTTCTAACATGAACATAAAGAATTTTTTTTTTCAAAAATCAAGTTGGTCTAATAAAAGATATCATCTCTACCACAAGTTCTGATTCCTTGAACCGAACATAAGCCATTCAGGGCACAGTGTGGTGAGCATCTAATTCAGTAGCATATTCAAGCCATTAAGGACACCTGTCGCTTTTAATTGCATTGTAGTTGACATGGAGCATGGCTGAAATCCCAGGCCGGATAGATTTGAGTGTTTTGATTATTATCTCACAAAGTAGGAGCACAGGTGCCAAGTTTCATCTGGCTTCAACCAGCTCAGTTGGCATAAATCAACTTCATAAGAGGAGCCAACTCACAGGATTTGGTGTGTCATGCAGAACATCACATGTCAGAGGGAGATTTTCTTGCACGATAACAGTTCTGTGTATATCCCCGAGACATTTACACCCCCACATATGCACAGATACAAAATCTAAGCACTGCAGCTCAGAAGCAACAACAGACAAGAGAGACAACAAACAGCACCCATGGCTCTTTCCATTGGATGAGGACAGGAACACCCTTAGGAAGCAGCTGTAGATAGGTCCTTGTAATCAGGAACAACATGTGGGAGTGGACTTGACCTGGTACGGATAACACAGTACAGAGGGCAGAACAGGTGGGGCTGCTTATTTGGGGCCAGTCACCAGGCACAGCAACGCTGAAACCACAGGATGAGCTCTTCTTGGCTGTCCAGAGATGTCTTCCAGATGTTCCCCCTGGTTGCAGCACTATGCCTGACCTGCTTGCTGTTGAAAATTATTCAAATGTATTGGAGGAAGCAGGAAATTGAAAAGGCCTTAGGCAGCTTCCCCGGTGCACCCACACATTGGCTCTACGGTCACATCAAACTGGTGAGTGTACACTGTGGAGTGCATGTGTCTGCTTAGGATCTGAGACTTTGCTCAGCTCACAGACCGAGGGTCAGAGCAGCAGCCAGAAGGCAGTGGTGGTGGAGAGGGGCATAGAGCTGTTACAGCAAAGCACGTGTATTGATTTGCTTCTTGTTTTCTCTGTAACAAAAGACCCATCAGCTTGATGCATGTGGGCCACAGCCAATATGAATCAGCTTTTTGGGATGGGTAGAGACTGGTTCTCCACAATGAAAATGGAGCTTTTCTTTCTCCTATGAACCCTCAGGAAAAGGCCATGTCAGATGCTGGGTGTGTGGTCTGTAGCCCACAAAGGCATTTTTGCCCACCGTTGATATACCAGCCCATGACGCAGAACAGAAAGAGCTGCCTTGAAGGCCTCCCAGCTCTTTTTATCGCATGCTGAGAGCAGCTTGTCCTAGACAATACAAAGGAATTTTCTCAAAGAGGACCCAAGTGTCTTTATTATGGGAAAGGGCATATTTGGTGTAGTAAAAACACCAAGATATTGTAGAATCATAGAAAATGAGGGTGGGAAGGGACCTCAGAAGGTCACATCTAGTCCAACGCCCTGCTCAGAGCAGAACCATCCCCAACTAGATCATCCCAGTTTCGACGAAACAGTTTTGACAAAACAAAACGGAACAGCGGTTTCGAAATGAAATGAAACTCAAAATGAAACACTGTCCCACTGAAACTTCGAAATGGAAGTTGAAACGAAATGGTGCTGTTTTGCACAATCCTATACAAGTGGTAGGTAGGTCAGTCCTCATCCTCCTTGCCGCCTTTTGTGACTTACTGTTAAAGCCAAAATGATGGTGTTCACAAAAGTAGATGCACAAATGGATTTTCAGGGATTCTAGCAGGGCAGAAGAGGATCACATTTAGGTTTCTAGGTCTACTTAGTCACTTCATAGATGTCCAGTTTTAGCCCACCTCTACAGAAAGGATGGAGACAAAATTGGAGAGAGTCCAGCAGAGGGCAATGAAAACAGTTTGGAGGCTGGAGCATATGACTTGTGAGGAGAGGCTGAGGGAACTGGGCTTATTTAGTTTGGAGAAGAAAAGACCAAGGGGGATTGAATAGCAGCCTTCACCTCCCTGCAGGGGGTTGCAAAGAGGATGGAGCTGGGCTGTTCTCAGTGGAACTGGACTCTCCCAGCCAGAGCTTTGTCTACCCAGGTATTAAAAACCTCCAAGGATTTAGAGTCCACCACCTCTCTAGGTAACCTGTTCTAGTGTTTTACTACCCTCCGAGCGAAATTATTTTTCTTAATATCTAACCTCAACTTCCCTTGCTGCAACTTGAGCCCATTTCTCCTTGTTCTGTCATCTGCCCCCATTGTGCAATCAACACTGATTATCAGCACGCCTATTTTCTCTCTTGGTGTCCTAATCACATCTACTGAGCTGAGTCTCTTCAGTAGGTCCTGGCAAATTTCTCCAGTCTAGGTCAATGTGCCCAGTGGCAGGTAGCTGTACAACATTAGTCTGGATAGATCATCCACGTCACCACCAGGAGACACCTTGGGGGTTAAGATTCAGTTCCCACTACTCATTTTCCTCAACAATGCAATAAACTTAATGAGTCAAATAATCCATTCCCCTTCACCTGTCTCATGGAAAGGTTTGTGCTATAAACTCAGCATCTTTGCTCCAAAGAGACGAGAATCATTTAGCACGAGCTGCTGTACTACCACTCATCTTGGGAGTCCATTTCTGTGAGCTGAGGACGTGCTCCTTAATGCTTCCGTGAAATGGGTTCTGGGTTTGATACATGGGATAATTAACTGGGAGCCGCAGAGCCCAGGGCAGACACAGCCATGTGTTTGTTGGGGATAGATCAGGAAATGTTATGGGAGCCAGAAAGAAGGGTCCTTAGGTCAGTAGGTGAAGGTAGAGCAGGATTCAGCAAACTGTCTGAGCCCAGGATTGTGTTACCAGCACTTTACTGCTTGGCTTGGACCGTATGGTGCAACCAGACTCTTGCTCGATGATCAAACAACTTCAGCAAAACTATTGTGAGAATGCAAACATGCCACTAAGCATCTGTTTTTAACTCTGCCTCCCTTTATTTAATGATGCAGATTCAGCAAGAGCAAGAACTGGACACCACAGAATCCTGGGGACAGAAATACCCGAACTGTCACCAACTCTGGTTTGGGCCTTTCTTGGGCTTCTTGCAGATCAACCACCCTGACTACGCAAAGTCTGTCTTTAGCAGAGGAGGTAAGGGCCCTGTATTTTCTGAGCGAGCATCACGTGACCTTTCCCCAACACAAATCCATAAAGAGGTATGAGTTATATGACTACAAAGTGGTTCCCCTGCCTCCCCCCTCCCCCCCAAAAAAAACCAACAGATTTTTCTTTCGAGGTGAACTTAAAAGAATTTATTCACATAGATCCCCATCCTTCTCCTGCTTCTGCAGAATCAGATTTGTGTTTGTGTTATAAAAGCAAAATGTCCTTGTTTAAATTAGGAACGATCCCTTTCCGTGTGCGTAATTTAACAAGCGGCATATAGTCCACATAGTCCACTTAGTCCATATAGTCCACTTATTATTTATGTTGGCTTCAGATTTGGCTCCTGATATAAAGGACTTTTAACCTTCTCTATTTGCAGTTTTGGCAAAGGAAGAACAGAGCTCTGTTTAAGGCCAGTCTGAAAATGTGACCCTTAATATCCATGTCACTGCAGATTTTTCCACTCTCCAAAAACGTCAACTTGAAGCTCTCAACAGGATGTCTTCACTTTATCTTGTGTACTTTATCTATAAAAGATAGATACTATCTTTTATAGATAAAGCTACTAGGAGTCCAGGTACGGCACTGCCTACACAGAGCGTGTGTGTTAGCCACTACCAAGTTTACTCATTAGGGAAGCAATTGTTCAGAAACTGTTTCTTTCTCTCCTATCTGGCTTTAAGTCATGAGTGAATCAGATAACAAAGAAGGAGAGCTAGACTGAGTGGGCAGAAGCAAGAAAAGCCAGTCCCAATGAAAACTTCTATATTTAGATAAAAACCATAAAGTTATTTGGTCAGTGCCTGCTGTTGTTAGGCTGCAGTATGGTGATGGATGAATGCATGAAAAGAACATAGTCTCTATATAAAGAATTGTTAGCACTGCTTTGATGATTTCATAGATTCATAGATTCATAGACATCAGGGCTGGAAGGGACCCCGGAGGATCATCGAGTCCAGCCCCTGCCCCAGGGGCAGGAAGTCAGCTGGGGTCACAGGATCCCAGCAAGATAAACATCCAAATTTCTCTTGAAGGCATTCAAGGGGGGTGCTTGAACCACCTCTGGCGGCAGTCTATTCCAAACCTTGGGGGCTTGAACAGTAAAAAAGTTCTTCCTTACGTGCAGCCTGAATCAGTCTTGGCAGAGTTTGTGACTGTTTGATCTTGTCATCCCCCGGGGCACTCTGGTGAACAGATGTTCCTCCCAGATCCTGGTGGTCACCCCTGATAAACTTGTAGGTGGCCACCAGATCGCCCCTGAGCCTGCGCTTTTCCAGGCTGAAGAGTCCCATAGCTCTCAGCCTCTCTTCATAAGGTCTGTTTTCCTGACCTCTGATCATGCGCGTGGCTCTTCTCTGGAGTCTTTCAAGCTTCTCCACATCCTTTTTGAATTGTGGAGCCCAAAACTGGGTGCAGTACCACAGCTGCGACCTCACCAAGGCTGAGTACAATGGGAGAATGATGTCCCGGGATTTGCTTGAGAAGCATCTATGGATGCAAGCCAGCGTTTTGCTCACTTTACTAGCCGCAGCATCACATTGAAGTTTATGTTCATCTTGTGGTCAATCATGACCCCCAAGTCCTTTTCGTCTGCCGTGCTAACCAGCGTAGCATTGCTGAGCCTATAAGCATGCTGCAGGTTTTTCCTCCCAAAGTGGAGAACCTTGCATTTTTCGGTGTTGAACGCCATCAGGTTCTCATCTGCCCATTTCCTGAGCCTGTCCAGGTCCGCCTGGATTGCCCTCCTCTCTTCAGGTGTGGATGCTTTACCCCAGAGTTTGGTGTCATCAGTGAACTTGGCCAGCTTGCTTGTGACACCAATGTCCACATCATTGATGAAGATGTTAAATAGTATAAGCCCTAGGACAGAGCCTTGAGGGGCCCCACTGGTCACAGCACACAACGACGATTGACTTCCATCAACCACCACCCTCTGGGTCCTACCGCAGAACCAATTCCCCAGCCAGCGGATCATGGTGAGATCAAGGCCGCAGTTAGCCAGTTTTGCCAAGAGGTGATCATGGGATACTAGATCGAACGCTTTTTAAAGTCAAGATATACAACATCAATCTCCTTTCCCTTGTCCAGGTGATCGGTCACCTGATCATGAAAGGAAATGAGATTGGTCAAGCAAGACCTACTCGCAACAAACCCATGCTGGGTATCCCTCAGGATATTGCCGTCAGCTAGTCTGTTAAGGATAGCCTCTTTGATAATCTTTTCCAAGACCTTGCCCAGGACAGAGGTCAGGCTGATGGGCCTGTAGTTTGCCAGATCTACTTACAACAAATGGTGAAGGTGATCAGCTCATGGTCACTGTCACTCAGCTTCCCTTCGATCCATAGGTCACTGATTAGGTCGTCCCCAGTTGCCAGTACCAGGTTGAGAAGCACTTTACCTCTTGTCGGCCCGTAGACTTCCTGCATCAAATAGAGGTCTTCTACGCATGAGAGAAAGCTTTGTGACCATTTGGATTTGGCCGAGAGCTCCTCCCATGAGATGTCTGGGTAGTTAAAGTCTCCCATGACAACCATACACCGGGAGCACACGGCCTCAGTCAGTTCCCTAGCAAACTCCTGGTCAAGGTCTTGACCCTGGGTAGGGGATCTGTTGTAGACACCCACCATAGTATTCCCTGTGTCATGTTCCCCATGGATTTTAACCTAGAGGGCCTCAAGTCATCCACCATGGGTGCCAATGTTGGCTTGCAGGGATCCGTAGCTTTCCTTGACATAGAGAGCTACACCCTCACCTCTTTTGTCCACTCGATCCCTCCTATATAGGGTATAGCCATCTATACCCGTGGCCCAGTCATGGGTGGAGTCCCACCAGGTCTCTGTTATCCCTATGACTTCATAGTTATTTGCATTTAGCAGGAGGACAAGTTCCTCCTGTTTATTCCCCAAGCTCCCCAAGTGAGTATGGGGGGGGGGGGGGGGGGGGGGGAGATATGTGAAGGTGTTGGGGGGCTGTGGGTGTGCGTGTGGGGTTTGGAGCCTGAGGAGAGGGGTGGCCCACAGCGGGGTCTGGAGTCCAGGGAGGGGGGACCCCTGCACACCCTGGCAGGATGCCCAATCTGAGCAGGGTCTTTGTGGAGCTGCCCCAAGCCTGGGGCATGCCCCCTGCCTGAGCATGGCCCCAGCGGTGGTGGGTTTACCCCACCCTGGCCCTGGCATGGGCCTGAACTTCCCTGCTTACATGGTCAGTGGGTCCCAGGAAGTCCTGACCCACCCCAGGTCTGAGGATGCCAGACAACCCTACCGCCGCCCAGAGCCATCTTCCTCAACCCTGTGATGTTGCCAGCCCGGCTGCTAGGGCCCCAGATGGGGGTTGTGGATGCATGGGTGTGTGGGTACGTTCCCCTTTCCCCCACTTCCTGCTGCTCCTCTGCACTGCCACTGCTGCCCGGCTGGGTGGCGGTGGGGCAGGGCCTGGGAACAGGCTCCAAAACCACATATGCGATTAACATGTTAAAAAATGTAATGCGTTAGTTGGTTCTTGCATTAATCGCACGCATTAATGGCAATTAATTGACAACCCTAATAACAAGCTTTTAAGAAATGGCTGGATAATTGTTATAAAAGAGTCTAACTGGGCACCAAGTTGCTTATAACAATCTCAAGGACCTATTTCCAATTTATTACTGTGTGCAATAAATTCAACTCTTGTCCTAATTGTCACAACCCAAAGTTGTGGTTTTTTGTTTGTGTGTGCTTCGGCACCGCTAAATTATGTTCCCGCTAAATTGCAGCTCCTTTGCACGGTGGAGTTTTCTGCTGCAACAAGAGAACCCGCGTGCAGAAGAGTATTTCCCGCCAGTTTGTAGCCTTCTTTGCATGGTGCATTTCTTTTGCATCCTGGAGATGCACGGTGCAAAGGAGTTCCCGCCATTTGTATTTAGATTCGTGCCACATTATTGGCCGATCCTAATATATGCACACGTGGCGGCTAGCGATTGGCTTGCTAGCCGTATAAAGAGCTTGAGTGGTTTCTGCCCAAGTGGGAGAACTCCGAGGAGAACCCCTGCAAGGGAGGACTCCACGAACACCAGGAGAGAGAGAAAGCAATTGGAGTTCGGAAGACTGATTCCTTCGAACCCAGCTTTTTCCTTAAGAAGGCAATAGAGGCCAAAAAAACTACCGAACCCGCGGAGCCTTAACAACTCCGGAGCCCAATTACCGAATGGCCTCTAGCTTCTCCCCGTCACCGAGCACAATCCTAGACGTATCCCTCTCCCTGCGCCCTGCGCGCAAAGGAACCGGACCCACGGAGCCTAGCAAACTCCGTGTGAGTCTATTCAGCTGGAACAACTGACATAGTTGTTCAGACGACCGAACTTCTTCAGAGCACAAGTTCCACGGAGCCTAGCAAACTTCGTGAGAGAGCTTGTCGTAGTCCTCCAACGAGGATTTAAGCGGAGCTGTGCCTGGAAACTGTCCAGCCTACACCACAACCATCTTTGGTGTAAGTAAAATAATCTTTTAATCAACCATTACGCGTCCGTGACTAATTCCAGATCCCACGGGTCTCTCTCTGACCCCGCGTGCCCGGGCTGCTGGCCACAGTCCGTGTGCGCAAAGATGGGTCCGCATACCGCTCCCGGCCCGCTCATGGTGACATGGATGGGTTCGGGAGGCGGCCCGCACACTAATCACCTGTAAATTTATAAATGAAGCCCTTAATATGAACATAACGATTTTTCCTGCAGGGAGCTTGTCACTCCCAAAATAGATATTGCTACTAACAATAACTTGACCAAAACCCAGATGTGCTTTCAATTATTGCTGTACTAACATGGGGCCAGAATGTAACAGGTGACTTACCCTGATTAGTGCTGCATTCACTTCTGTATGATTTTTCCATATTTTTTGTGTGTGTTGAATTCCACAGATCCTAAGGCTCTCGAGACTTACAACTTTCTACTTCCATGGATTGGTATGTACGATTGTGTTTACTTCTCATTGGCCTTGTGTAACAGGTTGTGAAAATCCTTAAAGAAACAAACCTTTGCTTCTTGTGTCATACACACAACACCATTCAATAGTTTAGTTGCACAAATACACACACAAAACTGGAAGGATGTCAATGATGTACAGGAAAGCGGAGAGCTCAGAGTTCAGGTTGACTCATGGAACTTAAATGCATTATGTATAGAACTGTTTCACATGATACAATTTCACAAAACAGATCCGATCTGAGTTCAGTCTTAGCCCTGAATGAATATCCTTACCCAGACTCAATGCACAGCTATTTGGGGATGAAAGGAGGGCAAGGAAAGGGATACCAGCATTTGATCTTATTTTAAAATGCAGGATTTTGGACATTGATTTTTTTTCCTGGTGAAATGTCAAATGCTGAAATATGGGGAATTCTTATTTTTGTTTTATTTTGTTGCTTCAAATGCCATTGTGTTTTAGAGTGGTTGGTTGTAGCTGTGATGGTCTGAGGACACAGGCAGACAAGTTCTTTGGGTAAATGTGATTTCTTTTATTATACCAACTAAAAAGTTGGAAACATTTTTCTTTGCAAGGTTGTTTGTGCCCGAAAGCTTCCAAAAAACAATTTTTCCAACCCTTTAGTTGGTCTAATAAGAGATATCGCATTGACCCAAAAAACCTTGTCTGCCTATTGTGTTTTATTTTATTTCAGCTGAAATAAAATAGAGGTTTAAGTCTAAATGAATGAACACTTCGTTTCCTTTCAAAATGTGTACTTGAAACTTACCCAAGGACAATACAGACTAGCTTAGTGATATTTCAAAGATTTTTTTTTTCCATTTGCAATTTCGCACAGGAAAAATATGGTTTTCTAGGAAATGAAGAACTTTGAGTGATATTTCAAAGATTTCGTAGGCGTTGGCAGGGACCTCGTGAGATCATCGGGTCCAGCCCCTATATATATTCCTTAGATATAATGCATCTAAGGCAAACTCCTCTCTCACCAGCCAGTGACCTAACCAACTCTTGTGCATTGTGATTCTCCCCAGGACAAGGATTGCTGATTTTAGATGGGTCCAGATGGTTCCAGCATCGGAGGCTGCTGACACCTGGGTTTCACTATGATGTCTTGAAACCTTATGTGACCCTAATGGCAGACTCTGTCCAAGAGATGTTGGTAGGAATTGCTCTTGGTTCTGTCACGACTTCAAGCATCTGCCTGCTCCCTTCTCATTTAATAGTGTAATATTTGCCCAATAGTTTAGAATGATTTAAAATAATTTGAAATTGTTCTTTCCAGGCCTGCTGGTCAGGTCCCAGCATTGTAATAGTGCAGGAAGGTGAGCAGAAGAGAAGCGTTGCTACCTCTGTCTTCTCACCAAGATCATTTAGCAGGCTGTTGTCCCTAAACACAGGCCTTCCAGCTATCTCTCGGCCTCTCGTGACACACAGATTTGAATCCAAGGGGTCTCAGGATCTGGATGGACAAAGCAGCTATGCTAATGTGCGAAGATGGAGATTTACTATGTAGGAAGCTGGTCCTTGGCAACTGGGATGAAGTAGATGCCCAAAACAGAGTAAGAGGGACCTAAAGCACAGCAGTTCATCCCATTTCATTCAGGGATAGTTTCATAGTTTCATAGTAGGTAGGGTCGGAAAGGACCTGAGCAGATCATCTAGTCCGACCCCTTCCCATGGGCAGGAAAGGATGCTGGGGTTAAACGACCCCAGCAAGGTGTTCATCCAGCCTCCTTTTGAAGACCCCCAGGGTAGGAGTGAGCACCACTTCCCTTGGAAGTTGGTTCCAGATCCTAGCCGCCCTGACTGTGAAGTAGCGCCTCCTGATGTCTAGCCTGAGTATACTTTCAATCAACTTGTGGCCGTTATTCCTTGTTACTCCTGGTAGTGCTCGGGGGAACAGGGACTCTCCCGTTCCCCTCAGGACCCAACCTGGTAAGTTTATAGATGGCCACCGGATCCCCACTCAGCCTTCTCTTGTGGAGGCTGAACAGGTTCAGGTCCCGTCACCTCTCCTCGTAGAGTCTGCCCTGCTGCCCCCTGACCATGCGAGTGGCCTCCTCTGGACCCTCTCGTGCTGTCCACATCCCTCCTGAAGTGCGGCGCCCAGAACTGGATGCAGTACTCCACCTGTGGCCTGACCAGTGTCGCATAGAGGGGGAGGATCACATCCTTGGCCCTGCTCGAGATGCATCTGTGGATGCACGACAAGGTGTGGTTGGCCTTCCTGACCGCATCCCCACACTGTCAGTTCATGTTCATTTTGGCATCAATAATGACTCCAAGATCCTTTTCTGCCTCTGCACTGATGAGAAGGGAGTTGCCCAGCCTATAGGTATGCTGCTGGCTCTTCCCCCCAAGGTGCAGCACCTTGCATTTGTCAGTGTTGAACCCCATCCTGCTCTCATCCGCCCACCCCTGTAACCTCTCCAGATCTAGTTGCAGCCTATTTCTCCCTTCTAGCGTGCCCGCATGCTCCCACATCTTAGTGTCATCAGCAAATTTGAGCAGGGTGCTTTTTACCCCCTTGTCCAAGTCGCTGATGAAGATGTTGAACAGTGCGGGCCCGAGGACCAAGCCCTGGGTGACCCCACTGCCCACATCCCTCTAGGTCAAAAATGATCCATCCACCGCCACTCTCTGGGTGTGGCCCTCTAGCCAATTTGTGACCCATCTGACTGTGTGCCACAGTTGCCTAGCTTTTTAATGAGAATGGGGTGAGAGACAGTGTCGAAGGCCTTCCTGAAGTCCAGAACTACATCTGCTGCTACCCCTGCGTCTAAGCATTTTGTGATCTGGTCATAGAAGGCCACCAGGTTGGTCTGACAGGACCTACCCCTAATAAACCCATGTTGGTTGTTCTTAAGCATAATTTCCCCTGCTGGTCCCTCCTAGATGTGCTCCTGGTTAATTCTCTCAAAGAGCTTCCCCAGGACTGAGGAAAGACTAATGAGCCTATAGTGTCCTGGGTCTTTCTTCCTCCCTTTTTTGAAAATGGGGCCCACATTGGCTCTTTTCCAGTCCTCTCGCACTTGGCCAGAGCACCATGAATGCTCGTAAAGCCATGCCAGGGGTCCTGCAATGACCATCTGCCAATTCCCTCAGCACCCTGTGGTGGAGATCATCTGGACCTTCTGATTTAAACACATCCAGCCCCACCAGAAGATCCCTAACTAGGTCTTCTCTGACCCTAGGCCTGGCTGTGCCTCTCCTGAGTCTGTCTGGAATCTCAGTGTGGGGGATGTCCCAGCCCCTGCTCAGAAAAATGGAGGCAAAGAATTGTTTTAAGAGGTCAGCTTTATCATCTGGTGCAACCACCAGATTGCCAAGCATGTCCTCCAGGCGCCCCACATTACCTGGTGCCTTCTTTTTACTCCTTATATATTTAAAAAAGGACTTTTTGTTATCTTGGATCCTGGTCACTAGACCTAGTTCCGTCTCTGCCTTAGGCTTCCTAACAGCCCCCCTACAGTCTCGAGTAATGGAGGTATAATCCTCCTTGGTGATGGCCCCTTCCTTCCACCGGGTGTACGCTTCCTTTTTAGCTTTTAGATGTTCCTGAATGCCTTTGGTGAGGCATGGGGACTTTTGAGCACTCTTGCCCCCTTTGATTTGCATTGGGACTGTCACCCTTTGGGCTTGGGAGATCATCTCCTTAAGGAACGACCACTCATCTTGGACTCTCAACTCCCCTACCCTCTGGGACCTCAGTGCCTTCCCAACTATAGAATCATAGAAGTAGGGTCAGAAGGGACCTTGTAGATCTTCAAGTCTGACCCCCTGCCTGGGCAGGAGGGAAACTGGGCTCAAGTGACCCCAGCCAGGTAGGCATCGAGCCGCTTCTTAAAGACCCCCAGGGTAGGAGCCAGCACCACTTCCCTTGGAAGTTGGTTCCAGATCCTAGCCGCCCTAACTGTGAAGTAGTTCCTATGGATGTCTAATCTGAACCTACTCTCCAACAACTTGTGGCCGTTATTCCTTGTTATCCCGGGGGGCGCTAGGGGAAACAAGGTCTCCCCCAAACCCTTCTGGTCCCCCCTAGTGAGCTTACAGATGGTCACGAGGTCCCCCCTCAGCCTTCTCTTGTGAAGGCTGACCAGGTTCAGGTCCCGTAGCCTCTCATTGTAGGGTCTACCCTGCTGTCCCCAGATCATGGAGGTGGCCTCCTCTGGACCCTCTCAATGCTGTCCACATCCCTCTTGAAGTCGGTTGCCCAGAACTGGACACAGTACTCCAGCTGTGGCCTGACCAGTGTCGTGTAGAGGGGGAGGATCACCTCCTTGGCCCTACTTGAGATGCATCTGTGGATGCACGATAGGGTCCGGTTAGCCCTGCTGACTGTGACCTCGCATTGTCGGCCCATGTTCATCTTGGAGTCAATGATGACTCCAAGATCCCTTTCTGCCTCCGTGCTCTCAAGAAGGGACTTTCCCATCTTATAAGTGTGCTGCCAGTTACTACTGCCCACGTGCAGCACCCTGCACTTGTCCGTATTGAAATGCATCCTGTTTTTGTTAGCCCACCCTTGCATCCTATCCAGGTCTTGCTGCAGTCTTTCCCTCCCTACTAGCATGCCCACCTCATCCCAGATTTTCTCTGAGTATGACCCTTCAGCCAATTAGCAATCCATCTGACCGTGTAGGCATCGATGCCACAGTCGCCTAGTTTTTTAATGAGGATGGGGTGGGAGACAGTGTCAAAGGCCTTGCTGAAGTCCAGAAAGACTACATCCACCATGACACCTGCATCCAATGCTTTTGTGACCTGATCGTAAAAGGCAATCAGGTTAGTCTGACATGACCTGCCCTTAATGAAACCGTGCTGGTTGTCCCTGAGCATCATCCCCGATGCCGGCCCATCACAGATGTGCTCCTTGATGATCTTCTCAAAGAGTTTCCCCAGGATTGAGGTAAGACTGACGGGCCTATAGTTGCCTGGGTCCTCCCTCCTCCCTTCTTAAAGATGGGGACCACATTGGCTAATCTCCTTAACTCATTGAAATCTGCTGTCCTGAAGTCAAGGGCTGCTGCCTTGCTGCAGGCCTTTACCATCTTGCACTGGATGGTGAATTCCAGTAGGTGATGATCGCTATTGCCCAGGTGGTCGAGAACCCACAGTCTCCTCACCAGCTTGTCACCTGTGGCCAGGACCAGGTCCAGCAAGGCATTTCCCCTGGTGGGACTGTGCACCTCCTGGGATAGGTGGAGGTCCTGTAGCTCAGCTAGGAACCTACATGAGTGATCAGACTTGGCTGACTGCTCCTCCCAGCAGATGTCTGGGTAGTTTAGGTCACCCATGATGACCATGTCCCTTGATTTAACTGCCTCCACAAGCTGACCCGAGAATTCCCAGTCCAGATCTTCCCCCTGGTTGGGTGGTCAATAGTAGACACCCACCGTTAAGTCCCTTTCCACATGACCCCCTTGTATTCTCACCCAGAGCACTTCAGTCTGCCCCTCCTCTGACCCAGTGCTGTTTGTTGTGGATGTGTATTGCTCTTTGATGCAGAGCGCCACCCCCCCCGCCTTTCCTCCCTGTTCTATCCTGCTTGGACAGTCTGTGGCCCTTGATGTTTACCGCCCAATCATGGGTTGAATCCCACCAGGTTTTAGTGAGCCCCACTATGTCCGGGTTTGTGTTAGCTGGCAGGAGGGCAAGTTCCTTCTGCTTGTTCCCCATACTACGAGCATTAGTGTAGAGACATTTAAGGCTTCCTATGGGTGCATGTACCACCCTGCCTGATCCCAGGACTATCTGGACCCCTGTCACTTACCTGGGTACTTCTTGTGCTCATCACCTGTCTTGGCTGGGATGTGTCCTCATGTCCCCCCGTGGCTCCATCCCCTGGTTAAAGCACACTGTATGAGATCAGCCAACTTGGAAGAGAAGACCTACTTGCCTTAGATAGATTATTGCATTTTAGGTTCACTTCCCATGGGATAGAGGTGGTTTACGACATATTTTCAGTGGATAAGTTGAATGCAAGGGAAATCCCTCCCAGCACCTCTCAAATTGCTATAACTGCAGTGTGTGTCTAGAAATCTACCCAGCAAGAGGCCGGGTGTCTCAAAGAATGAAAATCTATCGCTTATATATATGAAATCATGTGAGAGACAGGAAACTTTTGGGGGTCCATGGAGAAGTGCCTGTGCACAAAATGAGAGGGACAGACTGAAAGGGAGACAGAAGGACAACACAGCAGCCACAGAGACTGTCTGGGGGCTCTGGAGTTGTGTTCCCATGAGGAAGCCTCTCCCTCTTTGGCAAGGGTGCAGCTTAGCTTCCTGTATGCGCCCCTTGAATCCACCACCATCCTATATTCCTCATGTTTCCTTAGCTACAAATCCTCACGAGGCTACAGGCCAGCTCCTAAAGTTTACTCATTCCATTCTTTATGAAACCAAACCCTCCCGTTGAAGTCAACAGGCTTTCTGCCAGAGAATTGCTGGAATTCATCCTTAATGTGACCATGAGATAAGATCAGAGCAAAGAATCTGGAGTCGCAGATTAGCCAGCACAACAGGATAGGGTGGTACAAAGTATATTTCCAAAGTCTCTATGAATTTCCTACTACTGTGGTGGTATATAATACCAAGGACATGACAAAACACAAGCAATTTGCAAACGCCACCTACATTTCTGCAAATACAGTCTGGCTGTATTTTTGACATCTTATTTGGCTTCACTTGAATTATAATGCAGGTAGTGATGGCCTGGTACAGGATGCTTGCTATTCATGCAGATGGGTGCAGAAGTCACAGCTCATAATGGCCAGTCTCATTGCAACTGGTATCTGCAACACAGACAAGAAGAGAGAGAGAGGGGACATTGTCTACACGTGTATTTATGTGCGCCTAAACTTAATGCTTCTTTGCTTAAGGTACATTAAGGCAAGTTAGATGCACCTGTACACATGGACATGCTAATGTACGTTCAGGCACATTAAATTTAGGCACGAATACCTAAGTTGCATTAGTGCACATGCAGATGTGCTAATGCACGTTATCGCAATGTGTATCCATTGACACGCCGTGTTAATGCACTTTAGTGTGTCTACATATGCACTAATGCAACTTAGCTATTGGCGCCTAAATTTGATAATGCAAATTTAGGGTCCCATAGCCTTAAATCACCATTTTAAAGGCACATTAAGGGTGCATGCATGTAGATGCATGTCCTTAATTTGCCTTAAAAATGGTGATTTTAGGCTAAGTCCACGTAAAAGGGGCATGTGTAGATGCACCCAGAGAGACTTCTTGCACCCCCTTATGGGTCTGGGCAAAGCTTGCTACAAAAGGCAAGCGTAACTCATTTGGCTTCTCTTGCACTGGTGGCACCACAGAAGGCTGTCCTACCCTACCCCTTGGCTGTCCTACCCTACCCCTTGGCTGTCCTACAAGCTTTGTAGAGGGGCCATACGCTGTAAAGACCAGCATGAGAAATGGAGGTTCTTACTGTCCTGTTTGTGAAAGCAAGCTGTTGTTATTTATCACCCACATCATGATGGCACATGGACTTCAACCCTGAGTGTGGCTTTATTGGTCTACATGCTATACTTAAACACAGAAGAAGATGGTTAATCCCGATGTCACTTTGGCCTGGAGCTACTTAAATGATGTATGCCTGGTCTAGCCCTCTACCTAGGGCAGATTTTATCTCTGGGCTGTGCTCTAATTTCCAGAGAGAAGCCAAACAGCCAGACCAAGCCCCCTCAAGAGAGGTCAGTGGGAAATGTGGGAATGAGAAGTTGTATATAATAAGAGGGAATGAACTCCAATTTAAAGGTATCTACCAAGACTTCTTTACTCCCATGAAAATCTCTGCATCCTCATTTCACTGTCTGCCCCACTAGGACAAATGGGAGCAGCTGATCACACAGGACAAGTCAGTGGAGATCTTCCAGCACATCACCTTGATGACTCTAGACAGCATCATGAAATGTGCCTTCAGTTACCAGAGCAACTGCCAGACCAACAGGTTCGTTGCACTTCCTGTCCTGAAGCAACATTTTGCTGGCCCTGGATGAGCTGTGATTCAGTGTGATATGATTGGAAATGGGGGACAGCATTACTGGGAGAAGTTACTGGACCTTGAGACAAATCACGAGAGACACTGGGCACCTACTACTTCTCTAGGTCTGCAAGTCCAGAGAGTAGGGGAGCATCCAGATCATGCTGTTGATTTTAGGCTCATTTCGCTACCACTAGCAGCCCACCTCAGGATTTAAAAGAGCCAAAGCCTCATTACTTGCAGAACTGACTAAAGCAGTGTCAATAATTCCTATGATAGATAAGTGGGGTTTTTTAGGGGTTGGTAAGTAAAGTGACATTGTTGCTGCTAATTGCCATGGAGAAAAAAAATCCAAGAATGCTCCACACAGTACTTACAGGGCTGATAAGTGCTTCTCAAATACTTGGCATTAGCTGTAAGCCATGGCGTAGCAGTGGGATTCAAAACATTTCACAGGGAAGACTGAAGTACTTTCTTTGGAGCGTCTCCCTGGCTGGTATTCTGCATAAGGGTAGGATAGGGCTAAGATTCTGCATAAGGGTAGGGCTAAGATTCAGAGAGACCTAGACAAATTGCAGGATTAAACCAAAAGAAAACTCATGAGTGTCAATAAAGACAAGTGCAAAGTCCTGCACTCAGGAGGGAGCAATGCCCTGCACCGGTGCAGGCTGGGGGTGACTGGCTAAGCAGCAGCTCTGCAGAAAAGGACCTGGGGGTGACAGCGGACAAGAAGGTGAAGGTGGAGATGAGCCAGCAGTTTGCCCATGGTGCCAAGAAGGTGACCGGCATCCTGGGCTGCATCGGTAGGAGCGCTGCCAGCAGATCGAGGGCAGTGATTCTTCCCCTCTATTCAGCACTGGGGAGGCCACTTCTGGAGTCCTGTGCCCAGTTTTTGGCTTCCCACTACAGAAAGGATATGGACACATTGGAGAGACTCTAGTGGAGGCCAATGAAAATGGTTTGGAGGCTGGAGCACGTGACTGGTGAGGAGAGGCTGAGGGAACTGGGCTGATTGAGTCTGGAGAAGAGAAGACCGAGGGGGATTGAATAGCAGTCTTCACCTCCCTGCAGGGGGGCTGCAAAGAGGATGGAGCTGGGCTGTTCTCAGTGGGGGCAGATGACAGGACAAGGAGCAATGGGCTCCAGTTGCAGCATGGGAAGTTGAGGTCAGATATTAGGGAAAACCTTCTCACTAGGAGGATAGTAAAACACTGAACAGGTTACCCAGAGAGGTTGTAGAGTCTCCATCTTTGGAAGTTTTTAAGACCCGGGTAGACAAAGCCTTGTCCAGGATGATGACCAATTGGGGCTGGTCCTGCTTTGAGTAAGGGATTGAACTAGATGTGACCTCGGAGGTCCTTCCCACCCTCATTTTCTATGATTTAATAACTCATTTGAGTCACCACAAGGCTAGGTACATTTCTTCCCATGCTTGTCCTCTTGTAAAATTACCATTTCTCTCACTGCTGTTATATGCCCTGACTAATCTCTACCCATCATCTTTTTGACTCTGCTTGCAGTGACAATAAGTACATCCAAACGATCCTCAATCTCAGCCACATGGTGTATCAGAGAATCCAGAATCCTCTGCATCACAGCGATCTCATTTACTGGCTCAGTTCTCAAGGACGTCATTTCAATAAGGCCTGCAAATTATCCCACCTCCATACAGGTACTTCCCAGTATCCTCAGCCCCGATCTGGTTCCAGATGTGTGCAAGGCCACCCTGCATCCTCCATGAACTCTAACAAGGCCACCTGAGGCATTGTGATAGTGCAATAATGCACCCTATCTGTGCTGGTGATGCTCCTAGCTTGTATTTTACCCCACCTGGGGTTTAATGGAGGTGACTGGCAGCACTATTTGGGTGTCAAGATTATTTCCTTAAGTGATGCATGTTGGAAAAAAATAGATCAGCTCGACTCAGAGCCTAGATTGACAAAGTGCTCCATGAAAGCACTTTATTGGCATATTTATACAAACTCTGGACATTAACATCAAAATCCTGAAAACCAAAAGGAGGAGAGAGGGAAAAAAAAGAAAATTAAATATTTAAGGGTTTCTACATGCTTTTAAATACATTTGCATTAAAAGAGACCCAATTCCATTACCAATTCCTCTTCCTACAAGACCCTGAATTTTGGCCAGTCACTCGAGCCAAAGGACATAATGATACAAATGCTATGAAAATTAATAAGATGAACTCATAGCTTGGGTGAAGTATCTGACCATCTCTTTATTAATTGTTTTCCTCCAGGAAAGGGATTATTGGTTTTAAATGGGCCAAAGTGGAATTGGTTTTTGTGCTGTGCAACCCATTGGAAGCTCCTTGTTTTCAAGGATTCTCTCTGAATCTTAGCCCTACCCTCTATCCTACCCCTTCCACATGCACTGTCTTTCCTGGGGGAGGATTATTGGTTATTTATGGGCATTTAGACAGGTCTCAGACACCCAGGAACACATCTGACTCCAAAAAAACATTTCTTTGTCAAAAGTGTTAGCATCATGGTATGTCCTATGTTGCTCACCACCTCCTGTCTGCCAATGTGCTGATTAAAAAGCATGACAAAGCAACACGACATCAGAAGATGCAGATAGCAGACACGCAACAAAATTTGGCCGAACAGAGGTTGCAAACATCCAGCAGGCAGAGAGTTACTTTGCACTATTATGAATATGTGCAGATAATTAAGGTGATCACTGCAGTCAGGACTGACTCACTGATGACTTGCTAAAGAAAAGGGGGTAAATTAGAATGAGAATGAGGTGAAGCGGCTCTGTTGCTGCCTGGGTTACTTAAATGCTGTGAAAACATTTAGAGAGGCTCCTATCACTTTGGGGTCCCCATGAAGTAGAAAGAATTCCAGTTCTGGCCCATTGGGGTATCCAACGGGTTCCAGGAAATCAAAAGGCAAACATGTCTCTTCAACTTCACCTTTGCCTGTTGTAGATAAAGTGATCAGAGAAAGGAAGGAGGCCCTCAAGGATGAGCGAGTGCTGGAGGAGATCCTGAAGAAGAGGCATCTGGACTTCCTGGATATTCTCCTCTGTGCTAAGGTGAGCATTGCAAAAATTCATCTGATCTATTGGAGCCGAGTAATATGAACATTTCCAAGTGGTATCACAATAAGAGAGCTGGGCATTGTGGAGAGTAGCTTCCTAATGTTGTATTTTCTGCAGAGATAAGGTTAAGATGAATTGGCCCGATTCGCCATCCATCCACAGATGCATTTTCTTGACCTAGAGCAATGGTTTGCAACCTTTTTTTGCATGACCTGCTGTTGGGAGCATAGTGCGGTGGCAGGCCAGGGACGGGGATGGGAGAGCTCCTGGCACTCGATTTGGTTTGTCCTTTGTGTGCGGCACTGCCCCCGCAACCCTCATTTGGGTCATGACCCGAGGTTGGGAACCGCTGACCTAGAGTATACTGCTCAGAAGTGGAGTCAGGTATATAATCCTGGGCCTGCTGAAGTTTGCAATGCGCCGAGCCACACCTCTATGGCCAAAGCCACACGACTACTAGATCCTCATTCCTGTAGCCCCTCTGGCCAGACAGATTCCCG